AATTTCCAAATTCTGTAAAGTGAAAGACATCCATCTGCCAGATCTCATTCCTCTGAAGGCCTTTAGGATTACAGCCAGCTGGCAGTGGAGTTTGGTTATACAAGGAACAAGTAGGACAGTTTCTCACTATTTCCTTGGCTTGTTGCCAAGTGATGGAGAAGTCCTTTTTTAAACCTTTTCTATTTACGTGATTTTTTATGAAATTCTGAGGCTCCTAGCACAGTACCAATTAATAAATGATCAATCTCGTCATTGCCTTGTTCTAGTGTGCCAGGCAGACCCATATGGGTTCTGATATGCATAATGTATAGGGGATTACTTCTGTTTCTGATTGTTTCCTGAAATTGTAAGAACAACAAGGTTAATTCTGTATTATCAGGAATGAATTCTGCAGTCTCTAAGTGTAAGACGATTCTCTCTGCATATTGGGGATCAGTATCTATGTTAAGATGTTCTGTAAAATCTGTAAGCACCATGAGAATTGCATATAATTCTGCCTTCTGTACAGATGTATACAGACTTTGAACTACTTTACTTACCTCACCTGCTTTATAACCTACCTTACCTGATTTGTTATCATCAGTGTAGAAGGTAAGAACACCAGAAATGGGAGTTTGTCTTACAATATGTGGAAGAATCCAGACTGTCTTTTTTATTAATTTAATTATGTTGGTCTTGGCATAGTAGTTGCTAATTGTTCCCAAAAAGTCAGTAAGAGCTATTTGCCAATATTCATTATCCTTCCATAGGGAGGAAATTTCATCATTATTTAAGGGTACTACAATTTCTTCTGGATCTTTCCTAGTCAGTTGACGAAGTCTTAATTTGCCCTTTAAAATCAAATCAGAAATCTTTTCTATATATGTCATTAACTTTTTATTCTATTTATGTGGCAGAAATATCCACTCTAATATAGTGTCTTCCCTCTGCATCTGAATTCCAGAAGGATATTCTCGGGATGGCAAGATAACCAGAATGCAGTCTAAATCAAGGTTTATCCGATATA